TTATTGAAACATCTCAATGGATATTCCATCAGTTCCTGGAGCCTTGTTTTTCACCAGTGCCTTCAGTGCAGCTTAGACTTTTTCCTTCAGTACCCTCGGTTCCTGATCATATGCTACCTCTTGAAATGGTTGAACGTCAACCGGTTCTTTTTGGTATAATGACTCTGTGTATTCCTTCCATCTTCCAGGCTACTCTAGTCAGGCCTAATAATCTCAATATTTTTCTTCTCTTCCTACATCTTATTTTCTCAACTCTTTATCACCATGACAGCTGTCCTCTGAACTGTCTCCTAATTTCTCACATGTTTCTTAAACATCAATGGCCTTGGACTGTTGCTCAATCTTCTGTGAAGGAGTGAAACAGACTTCCCACCGGGTAGAGTCTCGTTTCAATTATGCAGGAGGAGGTAACCTGCCTTGAGGATAAAATCTGCCAAAAGGTGCCACTTCCTCCTCTGCTTGATATGCAACCTTAGTGAAGTCTTCATCTAATAAATATTTACTGTTGGAAAGCAGGAGACACAAGTATTTGTAGATCATGGTCTCTATCCCTCAAGACTTCCTGGTGCTGATGTAGAGAAAAGTCCTACACAGTTCAGGAGTTCCATAGTGGGCGGTAGAGGTGCCCAGCTGGCATTTGTTAATCGTCAAGTGCTCAGTACTGGAAACAGGAACAGGAAAGTGATCACAGGAGGTACAAATATGTGGGCCATAAGTGCTCAAACACATTATTCACCTCAGGAAGGCATCCCTGCCTCTCTTCCCTTCCCAGTTTTCTGGTACTAATTAACAATTCTTTGGGAAGATGGTCAAAGAACGGCATTTCTCTTTTAATATGGCATTTGTTGACTAAATATCCTTAGATATAATTTGTGTGCCTTGAGTTAAAATCTACAAGAAGTTTCAATAGAAAGAATTTTCCCCAAATGATAATACGATTATACATCTGAACATGATAGAAGTACTTCAAATTTTAAAAGAACAAGATACTAAAGGTACAACGTATTTGTTTTTTTCTTGTACACCACCAAAAATAAACTCCATTGATGTTGAGTGAGAGCGCTTCATAGCACTTATGCTTTTATTTGTCTAATTTATGAAACATTTAAACTTCACTGATCTCAAAAGGGTGTTACAACCACCCAACGAGATAAACAGGGCGATATTATTATGCCCACTTTATTAATGAAAAAAAAACAAAGCTCAGAGAGGGCGACT